ACGCAAGTGGACTGAAACTATCAGGACAAACAAACAAGGCTGACACTGTATCCTAACAGCATATTCAAGTTTTAAAGACCCCTCCTGCAGCATGCATAAGACTAGGGATGGCTGTGGAAGTGGCAAACTTACCCATATTTTGTTCTGTTCCTGTCTGTGTGATGTAGAAACTGTTGACCCCATGAGACTCCCTCAGATGCTGTCCATCTTTTATGGGGTCGAGGGCCTCTTGAGTTCATGAAGCGACCAGAAAGTTGCATGCATGCATGCAAACTAACTCTAGAGGGCAATGTGTTTCATCTTATCAGACATACTAGCAGCCACCCTAGTGTTTTTCCACAGGTACTAATATAAAACGTATCATATCGTCAGGCACAATCATGCTTGTCTGTTAAAATAAACAGCAAAGCCACAAACGAATTAATCCAACCTTGCAGTTGTGTGAAAAAGAGTTTGTCATTTTAAATACCCGTTCTCATTCATTGACTAGTTGTGAAACATCTGATTGAATCAAGCTTCTCTTTATTCAGTGACAATTTTTTTCTGTCAGGGATTTCACTGCATGACTGATTCACTTTTTCCATTGCAGTGTTTAGTGTTACTCTGGTTGTTTCACAAAAGTCTTTCACATAAATCCCTCTCCATGTGTTCTTCTGTGAGTTTCTTGTCAGCCTAAAACACAATGAAAACTGTTTGTAAAGTAAGAAGACGGTAAAATAAATAAAACATCAGCTCCAGTCATTTGAATGCATGTTTACAGGTTTGTGGGACATTTTTGCAGTGAAGCATCTTTTTGCTCATCCCATTTGTGATGTTCAGAGCTCCCCTTAAAGGCAAAAAGACTTAAAAACTAATCATCTATCACACTTTCTGCAATAAGTGCCCTTCTGATTAGCTGCTAGCTATCTAGTATGTAACATATGTTAGTACTTTACCAAATCAAGTAGTGAAAAGCAAGTACATTTACTCAATTGCTCAAGTACTTGAGGAGTCTCCAAATATTTATTCACAGTTGCAGAAGTCCTTATTTATCTTATACTTGATTTTGGTGTAGCCCCACAGTTCATTCTTTGTCTGAAGCTCGTTTGGCTCCTCTACTATAACTAAGCCTTCTTCTGATTGGCTATCCCTTACACACAGAAGGGTTGAACAGTCAGATGTGTGTCCAAGATGCCCATATAAAGGACATTTCCTCATATAGACATCATACATAGGTTGAACACTCTAGCCTGAGCTTTTGTCAGATACCAAATCACCGTGAGTGGTATACACCAAATGTTTGTTATGTATATTGCTTATTTATTAGGTTTTTTCATATTTGTTAGTCTCATATGTTTCGAATCATCAAAAAAAAATTTATATTAGACAAAAATACCCAAAATAAAAGTAAAATTAGTTTTTAAATGATGTTTTCATTTACTAGAGGAAAAAAGCAATCCAAACCTACTTGACCCAGTGTTAAAAAAGACACCGGTTTGTGATGTTAAACCCCAGTGTGGCTGAATTAAAATAATTCAGAGATAAAAGAATAGGCCAAAATTTCTCCACGATGATGCCAAAGACTCATTGCCAGTTATTTAAAATATTTGATTGCAGTTTTTGCTGCCAAGTATAGCAGAACCAATTATTACTTTTCATTTAAGTCCAGGTAGGTTTGGATATATTTTTTCCCTTAATATTTTCCCCCTTAATATATTAAGTCTGGTTATTTTCATTTAATATTAACATTCATTTGATATCAGAAACATTTTAGTGTGACAAAGATGCACAAAAAAGGAAATCAGGAAAGGGCAAAGAGTTTTTCACAACACTATATAACAAAAACTAAGAAGAAGCATAACTGATGCTCTGATCAAGTGCCACAACAGGAGAGCAATGACGAGATCATTCTGCACAAAAAGTACTTTTACTTCATTTTTGGCATGTTTCTGTACATTTTTTTAAATAAGTAAAAATCAGAAACACTACTACCACTACTTTTTCACAAGTTCTATTTTGAATATGAGAATACGTCTTTTACCTAAAATAAAATAAAAATAATAATCTTTTCTCGTATTTGTACAGACTTGACAGAAACACAACCCACCTCTCCAGGTCTTCAGTTTTTCTTGGCATTGTGGTCTGCATGTGTGCGTGTATGTGCAGCTCAAATTTCATGTCTTGACTCTTGTGAGACAGCACATATGTAAGACAATGATAGACACAGTTATTACCAGCTCAGTTTTCAGCTCGATGCTGCTTTGAAATTCACTCTAAATTCAGCTTGAATCAACTAATCTTGGATTAACACAAGGCGGCATCTGTTTGGGAAGGAAAATGAATATTTACGGGAGATTTTTTTAAAGCCCGACTGCTGCCTTGTTTAAATATCCGCTTGCTGTGGTTGCAGGAAGCATACAAATGAAAAAGTATGAAACAGTCTTGAGAGGGCCCCCTTAGTCTTTGCAAAGAATAGGGTTCAGATCTTGTAAGGCTGCGAGCGCTCTGCTGTTATTTGATGTCTTCGTGCTAATGTTTGGTTTGGCTTCGTGACATCGGTGCAACTGCAACTAGAACACCAGCATTCAAGCACTCTTGCTGGCAATCATCTACCCCGCTGAAGTGTTCTTGAGGAAAAAAAGTAAATTCCTGCCAGCTGCTCTGCATCTGATCCTTCAGGAAGTTGCTTTATTGCTTTCAGTGAAATAAACAGATCTCTTCTAGGTCTTTCACTTTTGTGATCCTGTCAAGAGAAATCTGAAATACATCCTTGAAAAGAAAAACATGTGAAATAACTTTTTTTTTTCATAAAATACTGGCTAAGTTTCGTTGGTGGGGTCTCTGATCGTATTCACATGAAGGAATAAATTGGGAGAATAGTTTTGGTTAATCTTCTGCTCATAACTCACAAGGGATGCCAAATAAAGAGGTTTCTTTGCTTTGGTAAAACTTGGAAAACAACATTGTGAAATTTGAGGTTAAATTCCTGCACGCCAAAGTAAAAGGAGTGAAGAATTAAGAATACCACAGTGAGATATTTGGTAAATGTTTATACGAGCTCCCTCTTTTCATGTAACCTCAACTTATAAAGTCTGTAATAGGAAAACAGCATTGCTTATTTTCTATTCTTTCTTCAAATGTAAAGTCTTATGCTCATTACCTAACACTTTTCAGCGTATAGCTGCCCATGTTAAAATGTAAACCATGTGCCGTGCATGGCTTCCAGCTGCAAATAGTTTACTTAAGGGGTCCTAGTCATCCAAACAGAACACTGACAAGTGCTCTTCACATTTCTCTTAACACTCTGGAGAGTCAAGTAACAAGAGAGGAAAGATAAGGCTTTTTGCCTTAAATCCAGGAAGAGGTCTATGGAGAGGGACTTGGTGGTGACAGTTGAAGCCTTCAAACGTGATGCCAGCTTGGTTTCACGAATGCAGAAGCTGGATGTTTGTATGAAACAGATGACAAATAATGAAAACAGCTTAGTGGAAGTGCGCTACATGTGCCCATGTGTCTTGGTATTAGAGCTGCGTGTGCAATATGTCGAGAAGTGAGGCTTACTTTCTTCTGTGACCTGCATGAAACGATATCTTCACCTCAAACGTAAAGCTCAGGCAACGTGCGTCCACCAGATGTAGCCATATATCACCCTGCAGTGTCAACTTGACTTTATGACCCTGTAATTTATGGTATATATTTTCATATCCAAGGGCTAGCTTCATTCCTTTCTTAGTTTTTTTTTACTACCTCAGTCGTCTTCCTCCCATTGAACTGTAGCAGTAATTAAGTTCTGGTAATGTTTGGTACTTGCGTGTGTTTGTCGGAACGTGCACAGTCACAGTTCAGGGGTTCTTTTAGTTTTCATATTAACACATGCAGCATCAAGTTTTAAATTATTCAGTGTTTGCGCTACCAGGATTCAGGCTTTTATTAAAATAACAAGTCTTTCCTTTATCCATTAGGGGTCATGCTAGTGAACCCTGAAGGCAAAATACATTTGTTAAAAATGGTTTTATTTTGGTGAGTGAGTAAATATAAATATTAATGTCATTAAATAACTTTTGCCGCTTTGCACGCATAGATTGCTGTGAATGGGCAAACTTCAATCAGGCATGTTTTGGCCAAAACTCTGAGCAGCAAGTTCGGAGACAGTGGCAGGGACAAGATGAAACACATCAACCTAAAAAAGCTGCCTCTGCCTGCATCTCTTCATGTGTTTACCATACAGGTTTTATAGAGTTTGGCTTCATGTTTTT